ACCTCACCTCGGGACCCTCACCTCCGGGGCCATAACCTGGGGGCCCTCACCTCCGGGACCCTCACCTCCGGGGACCTCAACTCCGGGGACCTCACCTCGGGGGACCCTCACCTCCGGGACCCTCACCTCCGGGGACCTCACCTCGGGACCCTCACCTGTGGGGGGTTCCCACCTCAAGTGGTTGGGGCCCTCGGCTCCAGGGGCCTGGGAGGAACCTCACATCTCGGTTGCAGAGCCCAAGGGTGTGCAGGGAGCTGCTCCCAGCCTGACGGGCACACTCGTGCTCACACACACTCCCCCTGGCACACACACTCCCAGGCTGAGGCCTCGGGCTTCTGCGGAGACCCCGCGGGAGGCGGCGTCCTGGCCCCCGGGCAGGCGGGTACCTGGTTCCCCGTGCAGCAGGCCGGGCCCCGGCTCCAGGCCATCAGCCTCACCGTCGGACACCTCCAGCGGGGGGCTCTGCCGCTCGCCCTCCTCCTCGTCCGAGCTGGGCTGAGCCGGGGACAGGGACGGGTACTGGACGCACATCCGGGTCACGTAGGGGACCTGGGAAGTCGGGGCAGGGAGGAGGCCAGTGAGAGTAGGGGGTGGGGGGCTGTGGAGGTCACGGCTTGTGGTCAGCAGGGCACACGGGTTCACAGCTGCAGGACTCCACTCGGGAGCTTGGGGATAAGGGGTGTGGGCTCCGGAGTGCGCCCGGGGCGGGCAGGAAGCCCCGCTGGGTAAGAGTCGCCTCAACTTCCCGAGGGGCTTGGGGATGGGACAGGCGCCTACGCACCTGGTGGCCGAGGCCAGCGTGGGGCGGCACCATGGGGGCGTCGAGGACGTGCATCTGCTCCAGCTCCATGTGGCGGTACAGCTGCTGCAGCTGCGGGGGCTGCACGCTCTGCAGCTCGGTGAAGTGGCTCTCGGGGAAGGCCTCGAACTCGCTGTGCACGTGGTGGGGGTGGAAGTCCCAGTAATGGTCTGCGGGGACAGCCAGGGCCGCAGTCACCGACCGGGTGCGTGCAGCAGAGGGGCAGCAGGCTGGGGTCCTGCGACAGCCACGCGCCCTGGTGCCGGTGGGGGAGCGCCAGGGAAGGTCTCGGTACCTTTTCCGGGAACAAACACCGCCACGAGCCCGAGGGGCTTCCCGGGCACAGTTTGGAGCCCAAGCACGAAGTGTGGTGTAAAAGGACGAAGGAGTTTTCTCACGGGGCCCAGAGGGAGTGTGGGTGCAGGTGTGCATGTGTGCGCATGGACAGACGCTGGGCAGCCGTCCACTCTGTCTCACACAAACACAGTCACACATCCCTAAGATATGAAGTGTGTCTTTCAGTTCCAGGCTGAATTTCCAAGAGTCTCTTTCTTTTTTTCTTTCCTTTCTTTCCTTCTTTGATTCTGTCCGCTTTCCCTCCTGCTCTGCCTCCCTCTCTCCTTCCTTCCTTCTCTTGTTTTTGTTTTGTTTTGTTTGGTTGGTTTGGTTTTTTTGAGACAGGGTCTCACTATGTGATTGAGACTGATCTGGAACTCACTATGTAGCCCAGGCTGGTCTCGAACTCATAGTGATCCTCCTGCCTCAGCCTCCCGAGTGCTGGTGCGCCACCATGCCCAGCTTTCTCTCTCTCTCTCTCTCTTTTTTTTTCATTCTGGAGCCTCAGGCATGCCTACTGATCTGGGATCTGGAACTCACTATGTAGCCCAGGCTGGTCTCGAACTCATAGTGATCCTCCTGCCTCAGCCTCCCGAGTGCTGGTGCGCCACCATGCCCAGCTTTCTCTCTCTCTCTCTCTCTTTTTTTTTCATTCTGGAGCCTCAGGCATGCCAGGCAAGTACTCTACCACTGAGCTGTTTCCCCAGCCCTTTTTATTTTCTAATTTGAGACAGGACCTCGATGTAGCCCAGGCTGGTCTCGAACTCATAGTGATCCTCCTGCCTCAGCCTCCCGAGTGCTGGTGCGCCACCATGCCCAGCTTTCTCTCTCTCTCTCTCTCTTTTTTTTTCATTCTGGAGCCTCAGGCATGCCAGGCAAGTACTCTACCACTGAGCTGTTTCCCCAGCCCTTTTTATTTTCTAATTTGAGACAGGACCTCGCTAAGTTGCACAGGGCGACTTTGAGCTTGAAACCCTCCTGCCTCAACCTCCCCAGCAGCTGAGACTAGGACCTGCTGTATGATTCTGCGGCGTGGTAGCTTCACCATGCAAACCTGACCCCAAAGCCCCATTCTAGAAGTCAGAGGCGCAGCTGTGCGGCTTATGAGGCCCGTGCCCTGTGAGAGGAGGGCATCACCATCAGTTGGCCCGGCCACTAGGAGGCTGTGTGACTTAGACAAAGCTGGATTCCAGCACTGGATGTGCCATTTACTTCTGCTGCGTCGAGATTCTTGGCCTGGTTCCTGTCGGTGACCTACGACCCCCATCACATGGATGTGCAGCACGGAGGAAATGAACCGGTGCCTACAGCTTGCTTTGGCTAGAGCCTGCCCAATCGCGACCCCACGGCCCTGCACTGTGCTTTCACCCCACAGGGCGATGGCGAGGGCCCCGGTGTTTAGCGAAGGGTTGCGGGGGCTCTGGGAGTCAGGGATCAGCCCCAGCTTCCTCTTTGGCTGTAGACTTCCCTACTCCTGACCTGCTGCCTGCACTGGGGGTTGGACCCAAGGCCTTTGCACTGAGCTGCACCCCCATACCTTTTATTTTTGAGACACAGTGGGGGCCCCTTCCCACAGCCTGCTGGGCACTGAGGCTCAGAGGACCTCGATCAGTATTTGATTACCATGGTTGACAAAAGCCATCTCTTTTTTTTTTTTTCTTTCTTTCTTTCTTTTTTTGAGACAGGGTCTCGCTATGCAGTTCAGGCTGGCCCTGAACTCAAGGTGATTCTCCTGCCTCAGCCTCCTGAATGCTGGGATCACAGGTGTGCGCCACCACAATCAGCTTCCAAAAGCAAATTGCAGTGTGTCTTTTAAATGTACCAGACACCGTGCTAAGCATCTAATTCATCACATTATCACCTTCATCTTCACCCTGGTCCTGGGGAGAGGGCTACGATGTGTGGTCTTCCTTTTACATACAAGGAAATGATGACTCAAACAGGGTCTGTTTAGTCATTGGTAGAATCAGGATCCAGACCTGCTTGTGTCTGTCCGGAGACCAAACTGTAACTACTACCCCACACCACGTCTGAGGGCAGACTATTAGTGAAACTTTAAGTAAGACCTGTGGGGATTCTCAGAGACTCAGCTGGCTGCTCTTATCCACCCCCATCCTCCCTCACCCATCCACCATCTGTTACCTATCACGCATCGTCCACCCGTCCGTCCACCCGTCCGTCCACCCGTCCACCATCATCCGCCGATCCACATCCGCCCTCCAGCCAGCCAGAAATAACCGATCTGAGCTCTCGTTTCCTCCCTCTTAACCAAAGGCCAAAGTCTTGTCCACACCTCCCTGTGCTTTCTCAGTTATCACCAGGACTCAACAACATGATATTTAAAACAAGTCCCCGTGGAAACTGAAGCTTACGAGTCATCCAGGTGACCTTAACTCCTCAGAACAGAAACCCCAGCCTGGAGTCCAGGGCTCTCCCAGGGGAGCGAAAGGGCATTCAAAACAGAAGAAGAGGAGGAGTCAACAGTACAGGAGCCAGGAAGAACCTCAGGAAGTCACAGATATTTACAGTAGGGCTTCTGGAACCCAGCCCCTCCTGAAAACTGTTCAGGTGTGGAAACTGAGGCCCGGAGAGCAGAAAGTTGAAGGTCTTGTAGCACCTGTTCCTCTCCTCTCTGTTAAGAGTTTTAATTCTTCCCCTGTGATGACTGCGGACCAGGTTAGGTCACATTCATTTGTCAGCCATCTCGCAATGGGCCTGGCATATGGAAGACGTGGGGTCCGTTATTAGGAGGGACGGCCTGGAGGTGTAGAGAAAGCCAGAAAGGGGGTGAGTGACAGGCCGGACGGGTGTGCGCAGGAACTGACGGGTGGGCTCGCTTCGTGGTGTGCAGGGGTGAAAGGGTATGGAGATGTGGGTGGGTGGACAGATACAGCCATACTTTAGAACCCTCTTTCCTCACTGATCCCAGCACGAAGAGCAAATCATGTCATACCCACGAGCACGGCTACTATTAACATAAAAGGAAGCAGAAATGACAAGTATCGGTGAAGATGTGCGGTCAGGACCTTTGTGGGCTGTGATGGGATTGCAGAAATGGCGTGGATGCTCTAAAAACAATAAAGCAGCTCCGCAAAAACTCAGCAGTAGAATTACCATAGGCCAGGAGGTCCACCCGAGTCCACATGCAAAAGGGTTGGAACAGGCGTCTCGGGACGGACGGGTGGTGGACACCGTGGTCCCTACGTACTGTGGGGTGCTGCTTGGTCTTCTACCTGTGTCACCACACGGGTGCACCTCGAGGGGACTGAGCTGAGTGACCAAATAACGTGTGGTTCCTTTTATGTGAGGTGCCTGAAAGGGTCAAGTCCACAGTGAGAGAGGAGTGGAGTGGTGCTCGGCTGTGGTGGCCCGTGCCTGTAATCCTAGCATTCCGGGAGGCTGAGGCAGGAAGACCGCCAAGTTGGGGCGATTTAGCGACTTAGGAAGACCCTCTCATAAAATAAAAACAGGACCGAGGATGCATCTCAGGGCAAAGGCCAGGGGTTCAATCGCCAATACAACGGCAGCCACAGCAACAACAATAAGTAGAATCAGTGGGCAGAGACGCAGTTTGGGGAGATGACTTCCAGAGGTGCAAATGCGATGGGACGCTCGGAACGGGGAGTCAGCGGCTGTGTGCTCCAAAGCCACCGGAGACAGCTGACCCCGGGAACACCGCTCCTGTCCACAGATCTCTACGGGGGAAGAACGCCTTTCAACCTAGATTCTGCACAGAGCCAGACTGCCGTTCATCAAGCGACAGAGGAAAGACAGGCAGCAAACGCAGAGGTGCCTCACCCCCTGCACACCCACCCTTAGGAGGCTCTCATGAGATCACGGTTTGCCAGGCCCTGGACTGTTTCTTTGCTTTGGTTTCTTGAGACAGGGTTTCGATATATAGTTCAGACTGGCCTTGAACTCACTACATAGCGCAGGATGGCCTGGAACTTGAAGGAGTCCTCCTGCCTCAGCCTCCCAGACTGCTCTTAAATGCTCATACCCCCCACACACACATACCAAACTCTCCAACAGGGCTGGACATGGCTGCTGGTACAGCGCTTGTTTATCCTGGGTGAGCTCGAGGGCTCCCACCACAGAAAACAAAAACAAGGAAACCCCCTCCTGCAGATAAAGTCCCCACTACGGGGCCTTGGACTTTGGGTGTTCCCAGCCCTGCCCTTCCACCTGTCCTGTCGCCTACCTCCCACTCCTTTCATTCCCAGCCCTGGGCCGGTGACCCCACAGACCCTGCTGCCTCCTCACCCTGTGCCCTTACCCTCCTGCTGCCTCGGGAAGCACTAAAGCTGTCAGAGGCACCCGAGTTTCCTGGCCCTGTCCTCAGCACAGTGCCAGAGCTCACAGAGGATGATGTGCATTACTTTGCTGAATCTCACAATTCTGTGGGGTACTTTCCTGCTTTTTTCCCCTCTCCCAGTACTGGGGATTGAACCCTAGGGCCTTCACACTGAGCTACATCCCTGTCCTTTATTTATTTATTTTGTTTGTTCGTTTCCAGTGCCAGGGATCGAACTCAGGACCTCAGTTCTTGCACTTGTGAAGCAGGCACGGCTCCACTGAGCTAAACCCCTGGCCTGCAAGACTGGATTTGAACTTGCAATCTCTCCTGCCTCAGCCTCCCTGAGTGCATGCTCTCTATTTTACAGATGAGGAAACGGAAGTTCAGAGAGGCTCTGTTCCTAGGGGGATGAGCACACGGAACCAGGACTGGACCCAGGTACTCCCTGCAGCCTCGTCACTAAGCATAACTACCTAAAAAACGTGACTACAGAAGTGGCAGGAAGACGGGAGTGTCCTTGTCACTCCTTAGGTAACGCCTTCCAGCAGGTGGAAGGGGCAGGGCCAGGTACTCCCAAACCTGGGGGCTTTCAAGGCTCTCAAGCAGGGGTCACCCCTGCAGCTCCACCCCTCAGGGACGGGGGCCGGGAGGAAGCAGCTCTGAGATGGGACAGCCCAGCCACCAGGGGGCGCCCTTCGCACACCCAGCAAGAAGGAGAGGAAGGTGGGGCGCGGGTTACGGGGAGGCTTGCCCTCCACCACGGTGTGTGGGTTTCCCACGGAGAGGATGGAGTTCTTCTTTACACTTACAAATAAGCTCTCAGAGGATCTCTTTAAAGTCTTTCTAGCTCTGGGGTTCTCCTCCCCCCAGGGATCGAACTCAGGCCTTGCACTTGCAAGGATGGCGGCGTCACCGAGTTAAATCCCCACCCCAGCCCCTCTCTTTTTGAGAAAAGTCTCACCATGTAGTTCTCACTAGTATAGTCTCACTATGTAGCCCAGGTTGGCCTTGAACTCAAGGCAGTCCTCCTGCCTCAGCCTCCCAAGTGCTGGAATAACAGGCGTGTGCCACCATGCCCAGCTCCCAAGATCCACTCTGGGTCTCTATCAGAGCTCCTGCCTGGGTCCCTGGCACCCCCGCCAGGGTCTCCTCGGCCCTGATTTGCTCTAGGAAAAGGCTGGACCTTGCAGAGGACAGCAAGACCCAGCCAGAGCAGGGGTCCCCTAAGCCAGGACACTCCCCACCCCACCTGTTTCTGGCACTGGCATCATGGGCGAGGCCAGGGTGCCGCGCCTCGCACTGGGCAGTGGCCGGGGGGCCGGTCCCCGCCCAGCAGGGCCCTGTGGAGCCCCGTGGCTCCGGACGTGTCCACAGGGACAGACAGGCTGTGCGGGAGGAACGCTGGCTGGCCCGGACCCACTCACCGCTGTGGCTGTCGCCATCACTGCTGAGGTACGGGTAGTACTCGTGTGGGGGCCGCTGGTACAGGTCGGCGTCGTAGGAAACCAGGTCTTCCGACGGCTGTGGGGAGAGGGCGGCAGGGCTGCAC